GAGTGTTCTTGATGAGGGAATTGTTCATGATGAGAATGAACGAGGGCAGCCCAGTTGCTGATCACATTAATGAGGTCAATTCGATCTTGTCGAGGTTGTCATCAGTAGGCATGAAGTTCGATGATGATACTCAGGCTGTGATTCTGTTATCTTCCTTGCCTGATAGTTGGTCGGGATTTGTGACAACGGTTACTGAAACAGCTGGAACAGGAAACTTGAAGTTTGATCGGATACGGGATAGTGTTTTGGGTGAAGACATTCGCCGGAGGAACGCTAGTGGAGGATCTACTTCTGGGTTACTCAGTGTTAGCAGGGGAAGAGGTAATAACAGAAACAACGGGAGTCGTGGGAAGAGCTCGTCTAAGGCTAGAAAGAATGTGGTGTGCTCGGTCTGCAAAGAAGTTGGGCATGTCAAGAGTCAATGCCCAAACAAGAAAACGAAATTAGCACAGTTGTTGGGAATGCATCTGATGATGATAGTGATGCATTGATACTCAACATGGAAAGCTATGTTGACTCTTGGGTCATGGATTCTGGTGCTTCGTTTCACGCCATGCACAGCGGTGAGGCGATGGTGAATCTCCAAAAGGGAGACTTTGGAAAGGTAAAGTTGGGTAACGGGAAAATCCTTAAAGTGACAGGCATGGGAGATATTGATCTAAAAACTTCATTTGGAACTACTTGGAGCTTACAAAATGTCAGGGTGATTCCAAGACTGAAGACAAAGTTGATCTCAGTCGGATAATTGGATGAACAGGGACTAGATATTAAGTTTGGTGGTGGAAAATGGAAGGTGATCAAAGGAAATTTGGTTATTGCTCGAGGCTTGAAAAGAGGATCGTTATACATGGTACCGGTGACGTCTGAGGGAGTGACCAACCCAGTAAAGACAGTTAACAAAGTCGGGCTCACTGAATCGGGCAAAGCTAAGAAGGTTCATTTTGCAAACGTGAATCTTGGAGTTTTGGGGATGACAGTTGAGTGTGTTCGGAGGTCTGAATCAGGTCAGGGGTTTCGTGATAGTGGGAGCATGGGACGTGTTCCGAGTACAGTTCTGAAACGTCGTTGGGTTTTGAGGACCA